CATCAAATGTGTTCTACTGAAGAAACAAAGTCACCTACATCTTAGATGCCCGGGGGGTAAGAAGATAAACATCACATTTTCATTTTGGGTGAACTATCCTTTTAAGTGAAACCTCCACAGATTTTTGGTCAAACCGCCCAGCACTAGGTGCAGGTAACCAAGGTTACATGTTCTCTCGCACATTAGTTCTTATAAATCTTGAGTTTTTTCTCTAAAAACAAACAATAACTAAAATGTAATGAATTATTAGTTTGAAATTCCCTCTTGCCCAGTGGTTCCTTCTTCATTTCTGAATCCTGCGGACCTTTGTGGGATTCAGAGTGAGCTAAATTAAATGCAGGTACAAACAGCAATCTACAGTATCAGGGCTTTGTAAATTAGATGCGGTTATTAACTCCCATGGATTTCCCTCTGGACTCATCTTCACTTCCATCCTTCAGCTCCTCCTGCTCTCCTTCTTCTCATCTAACATCATTTGCCCCTGTAGTCCATTCACATCTCCCTCTCCTTCAATCCATTTCTAATTTTTCATTATCTCAGCTCTTTATTCACTATCATTTATAGGAAAACAGTAAGATAATTTATTAATGACATTGTTCCAAGATACAGCACATATTGCTGTAACTTAAGGATGCACTGCAAAGACATTTGTGCTGTAACATTAAGCCTATACAGATATGCAAATGATCAAACCAACAGCCAATTAGAGTCACATGCAGAGCTGGTTATGCAACAGAGCTGCGTCTGTCCCTATAATGTTTAGAGCAACAATCACAGACTCACACATACATTCATATGGTACAACAGTTAAATAAAGGTGACTTGACTTGACTTCATATGCGTAAGGCACACTGCACCTGCTAATTCATTTGACTGCCTCTTACTCCTTGCCATTAGCTTAGCTAAATCTACAGCACCATGGCAAAAGAAATAGGGACATGATGCCTGTTATGCTTTTCTGTTATTTTGTTTTTTCTGACTAGAGCGTGACCAGAGTAGTCCATTTTCATGAACAAATGATTCTCTTAATGAACCACTGGAACAACTCAAGTCACTGCTTCAGGCTTGGAATTACGTTTTGTGTTCAACTGTTAACCACTATTTAAGCATAGAGCTAAAAATTAAATTTCCAACTGAACCATCTTAAAGAAAACACATGACAGATTATTTCAGAACTCCAAAGAGACCAAAAGTAAAAAAAAAAAAATATATATATATAAAATTTTTGAAAGTTTCCAAATTTGAGCTTGACCTTTCAGTATTGTTCCCCATTCATTTTCAATGTTTTTATTTTATTTTAATTTTTTTTGGACCTCAAGAAGTACAAATGGGTCTTTTTTTTTTTCCCAGGACCATTTAGCCCTTTTTTTCACATAGCAAGCGGCAAAAACTTTACCAAGTTTCGTACAATTCCGATTAAGTTAAACAAAATTTAAAAAAACAAAATGTAACATTTTATATGGTTTTAGTTTTAATTAATGACAATAACCCTAGATTGGTATCATTACTGACTGTTCACGTGTGTAGTTGTGTAGTTAAAGAGACACATTTGGCGATTTTGGTATAATATTTAAGCATTAAATATTATAATAAAAATAGTATTAATTATTGTACATAAATGTAGATATAGCTTCAAGTCACAAAAAAAATTAAATAAAAATTTGACCACAAAAAAACACGATTCACCAACAAAATCAAGTTTGTTTGTCTATCTATCTATTATCTATCTAGTTATGATTACATAATTTGCTTTGTACTCATTCAATCCATGTTCTCTGTGGATGAGTGTTCAGGGTTTGCTGGTTCCTGTATCCTGCTGTGACTCAATAGATGTGTGTGTGTGAGTGTGAGTATGTGTGTGTGTGTGTGTGTGTGTGAGTGTGTGTGTGAGTGTGAGTGTGAGTGCGCGTGCGTGCGTGTGTGTGTTCACTTTCTCCTCATCTCACTATCTCTCTTCCTACAGCCTGTCATTTATTAATGGAAAAGAATCAGAGAGAGAGAGAGAGAGAGAGCAGAGGAAAGCTCAGGATGATTTCACTTGCCTTCTTGGCACTTCAAACATGTTAATATCAGCAGCGGCAGTCCCATTGCTATGGACACCAGAATCTAACTGTCTCAACCTCCTGTTTGAAATGTTCGTGAGAGCTGTGTGTCCATATGGGAAAGATCCCATTTCCACAGTCAAATCTACTTCATATCTCACCTATTTCTCCTACACAGCAGTGAGATTAAGGCGAGACACTCTGGGTTAACCACAGTTTTTTCATGCACTGGTCAACTTTGACATTTGAGGCAATTTTGCCTCCATAAGAAATGGAAAGAAAACATCCAAAATAAACATGTAAGTGTTTATTTTCGTACACTTCACATCTTGTAGATTTCAATTACAATACATATCTTTAAAGGCCATGAGTTTTTCTCATGCACTTTTCTCCACTTCAGCAGCACTTACATACACCAAACTTGACAGTTTTTGACACTGTAAAAAATTATGTTCAGTGGCATGCCTTAATTTATATATATTTTTTGCGTATAATTAACTTGGTTGTACAAGTCATTTCAACTTAAATTACATTAAACTGACTTAAAAATCTAATTGAATTTCATAAGCCTATAACTTGTGAAAAAGTTAAGATGAGTTAAAGTTATGTAAAAACATAAGTTGCTGTAGCAGAAAGTTATTTCCCTTAACCAGGAAATTAACGTTCTTAGAATTGACAAGACAGTTGACCCTGAGTGGTCAGCTAAATATCTACAGTGGATCTAAAATATGAATAGTTAATTATAACTAGTTATGGTTAATTATTCATATTTCCCCATGAGCTGATTCGCTACAGTTGCCATGACTTACGGATCATATCATTGTTTTACAGTATCAATATTCTTAAGGTGATACTGATTTATATGCATTTTATCCCTAAAATTAATTAAATTAAAAATTAATTAGATTTTAGTTTGTTGACAGCATTTCTACCCTATTCACTTGTGGAGTCTTGCCTAAAACAGCAAACAAATCAAACCTCCTGCTTCTCAGATTTGTCTCTTTAGGAAAAGATCCCTAAGTTTCTTCTAAAAGATCCCAACGTCTCAAACCGTGCTCAGATCTGCCAGGATAACAAAATCAACCGAGAGTCTGAAATGACAATATGAACTCCTGAACCAAGTGATCTAACTTTATCTGGCTCTCAAGGATTGCACATGTGTGTCTATTTTTATATCCTTTAAGGCATTTTAGAAGAAACAAAGTAGATACTTCAGTGAAACATAACTCTTTGAAGCATAACAAGCTCAAGTTTCCTGCCACTGGCTAATCAGTTCCTGTATATATATATATATATATATTAGTGTACTCTTGACAGGCAGCAGAAGACAGCAGCTGACCTACTACATGACAGCACACTGTCCTCTACAGGACGCTTTAAGACACTGCATTTAAAGAGAAAGACAATTCAATAAACCAAACCAAGCTAGAAACGTTCACGACAATAATTCATTGCAGTGTTTTCAAATAACTCGCATATTTTGAAGGATGAAATCAAACAGAGATCTCTCACACACACTCTTTGTTTCTCTACTTGCATAACTGAAGCAGCATCATTAAACAAGATTATCTGACAAACTGTTCATCAGTAGATTAGCATTTTAATAAAGCCATCCCATACGCAGATGTTAGGTTACGTATGACTATAAGCAGAACCTGAAGAAAACAACACTCTTCTGGGCACATATACAAGCTGTCAGAAATAATAGGCTGAAACTGCAGAGAGAATATAAAAGTGTACCTATATGGATAAACCGGTGTGTGTGTGTGTGTGTGTGGTTTAAAGTTGATACTGTAGCACAGAGAAAATGATGACTTCAGGCGACAGAGAAATACCATATAGAAATATGATGGAAGCCCCTTTAAAAACAAGCTGACATGCAATACAGAAACACTTAAAATAAAAATAGTCTTCATCCATTTAACTGATTTTCTTCATCAGTAAGTACATTTTGCAGTGGTCAAAAAGTGCAATTGCCTTAACAGGCTCCGGATTGATTTTAAATAGGCAGCAATTAAATTTGACTGGGTTCAATGTTTTTAAAGTGGTGCGTGTGTTCAATGTCATTGGTCCCATCATCAATCCATGCAGTATACCTACAGTATACATACAGTATACTTGCATAGGGTGATCAAATCTCATCCGCTTGGTTGCTTGTATCATCACTTATCCACCTGCTCGAATCGACTGTAAGGCGTGAAGATATTAAGATATCATAAACATTAACATCATGTTTTTCTGTAAAGCTGCTTTGAGTTTTGTGTATTGTGAAAAGAACTATATAAATAAAACTGACTTGAATTTGACTTGACAATTTGATGACGCAGTTCAGTGACCTTTATCAAGATAATAACAATTAAACAATCATGATGACGCCACTGTGAAGAACAATGTCACAAAGAAAGTGTCATTTGTGCTTTTTTTTCCAATAACTGTTGTCAAAATGGCAATTTGTTCTCAAACCAGGGGGCCTCGGCAAATTATTCAATTATTTAAAACAACAATAATAATAAATGTTTAAAAAAAAAATAATTAAAAGGATAAAACTGAACCAGAATCTATATATATATATACAAAAAATCAAGATGGAAACTGAAATCTTGTTTTTCTCCTAAATGACCACTGAGTCAAAATGGCAATTTGTTCTCAAACCAGGGGGCCTCGGCAAATTATTCAATTATTTAAAACAACAATAATAATAAATGTTTAAAAAAAAAATAATTAAAAGGATAAAACTGAACCAGAATCTATATATATATACAAAAAATCAAGATGGAAACTGAAATCTTGTTTTTCTCCTAAATGACCACTGCTATAGATGAAGCCATCAAGATGGGGATGTGAGTTATTTCCATGGTTGTTATGATTTCATATGGCTGTCGTTGATGAAATGGCATGAAAAAGGATGAAATGATCACATAACTGACAGCAGCGGCAGCAAAGCATCGGTGTTCTTACCAGTGTGGAGACCGCAGAGGTGTACAGAGGGGTTTGACCAGAGGACAGCAACACTGGCTGTGAAAAAACAAAAACAGGAGAGGAGAGCGGATAACTCAACAACAAACCCACGGGATAAAAAAAAAAAACCAAAACAAAAAAAACGTCAGAACGGAGCCTTTGATATATACAATTGGGGTGTAAAAATGCATTGAGGCACTGAATCTGCTATCTACAGTAATAATATCAATTCAATACATTGATTATGGATTTTATCATTACCATAATAGTCACATTTCATGCTGAATCTTATCATTTAGTAAAGGAATCATTGTATTTAGTGAATTTAATGACATATTTAGAGCATTGTCTTGTGAAATGAACTGAAATCGTAAAGAAATTCCCAGTTAGTGTTTCTCTCTTCTGAGCGCAATAAAGCATGGCATCCCATCAAAGGCTCTGTACTGGGGACAGAAAAGCAAATGGGATATAATTGGGGCGGAAAGGGATCTACAGGAGTCCTGAAAGTGCTGTTTTTGCATCTCATGCAGTGAGTGTAAATTAGATTAGTTAAGGAAACGGGAGAGTGAAAACAGACCCAAAAATTGAGGAGGACATGCGCAGGTTCATTTAAACTATGCAGTACATGTTTATGTCCCATCATATGTGTTTACATTGGACAGATTTTTAAAAATGGAAATCATACTTTGTATAAAAAAAAAAACTATGATAAAGCATATATGTCTTGTAGAAAGTTTGTTTCTTCGTGTGAACAGTTTTGGTTTGTTTCTTACAAACACACAGCTTTTGTCTTCTCCAGATGTTAACTGATGGACTGGAGTGCTGTGGATTATTGTGATGTTTTTATCAGCTGTTTGGACTCTCATTCTGACGGCACCCATTCACTGCAGAGCATCCGTTGCTGAGACACTGATGCAGTGCTACATTTCTCCAAACCTGATGAAGAAACAAACTCATCCTAATCTTGGATGGCCTGAGAGCGAGGACATTTTCATTTTTGGGTGAACAATATTCAAGCATATACAGTTTTTTTACAGGTGCTGCATAAAAGGAATTGGAAAAAGTAGAAAGCAATAAAAGGACAAGTAAAACATATTATAAGAGTACAGTCTGCACTATGTTTGCTTCCCCTTTATAGAGAAACAGCATCATCACAGTGTAACCTGGAACTGTCCTCAGTCCTCAAAGCTAAATGCTGTTCTGTGCATTAACAGCAGATGGCGACGTTGTTCAGTTTTGAGTGATTAAATCGCTTCAGGTATTGCTTGAAAAATCCTTTACATGCATGAAATGTTGTGCTTTCCAAAAATAAACTCTGAAGATAAGTGCCCTCAACAGACAGATGAAAATCTCATATTACACGTTCCCCGAGGCTGCAAGATCATCGCTCACTCCTTCTGAAGCTTGAAGGCAATTGAAAGATTCCCAGAGGAATGTGCATCTCATTTTCTCCAATTCCCTGCTGCTTTATTCACAGAGGCATAAATACTGTAAATACACTCCAGAGGTTTGCTGAAGTTCAGCAATAAAAATATTACTAATTCAACCAAACGTTATGCGTTTTATTAGACAGATGGCTGATCCGATAGAATATCTCATTCTAATCGGCTGATTCTAGCATTGTTCTGTTAAATATTTGTGCAAAATGATCCCTAAACTGACCGCTGTCCATCAGCCAGCCTTTATCCATCTGTTAAAACCTAAAAGTAACTAGTAAAAAGTTAAAAATGAAAAGTAAAAAGTAATGCACATATATGGAAAGCACAGAAGTTTTCACAGCTGGATAAAGGCTGGCTGTATTGACAGAGAATACTGTAATGATATTTAATAACGTACATGATACAGTGTGTATGTCGTACAGAGTAAGAAAGCAGCTCTAAACACAAGTGTTTTATAAAATATGAAAAATCCTAATTATTCAATATCGGTCTATTGACAATTATTCTTTATTTGAACCCAAATATATGCACTAATCTATCCTACTTGTAGTTATCGTTTAATGTTTAGAATATATTCCATTTAACAAAATACAAAAAAAACATTTCATTTGTTAATATAAAAAAATTAAATAAAATACCTTAAAAATAAAATACCTTAAATGCTGATTTAACTCCCATTGATCTCATAGCATTTCTATTTCTATAGCAATTCTAATTGTAGTGTAAATGCATTCATGCCACCTCTGAACAGTCTGTGTAAATATACAGAAATGCCACTTTGGATGCAGCTTCTAAAAAATAATGTTATTGCCACATTGTAGCCTTAAAACTGTATGTGTAATAAACTGTATGTTGAATCAAAATATTTCTTTCTAAAGCCACTTTTTGTATTGTCTATTCATTTGATGCTTTTCACATTTAACATAATAATGATCTTTTGTGGGTAATTTCTCAGCCCAAACTGATGTGTGATTAATTTGCCAATAATTCAATTAATTAATTGGTACATCATGTAATTAATTCGATTACAAATTTTAATCACTTGACGGCCCTAATTATTTTGCTTCTTGTCACATTAGCAACATGCTAACATCAAACTCAGGTCTCTTGTGCGCTATTTGTGCGACAGGCACAGACTTGATGTAGATTGTAGACTTTTACTTCTTCCCATTGAGGCAGATTGACATAGTTTTTTTTTTGTACATTGTCAAATGTTTTGGTTATCTCTGATTAAAAATCATTGCAGAGCAAATGTATCAATATCAAGGCACCTATTAAATATTGTCATAAAATTTAAATGTACTGACATTTTTTCAGCAACATCAAATGAATGTAATATGAGGCTTGTTGTGGAGCTATTGAATTATTTGTTTTATTTGTACTGGTTGAATACTAGCAGGAATAGCAGAAGGAGGCATGCAGGAGCTCTGATGTGTCATATGACCACATGAAAGTGATTCATACTGTGTGTGTGTGCGTGTGTGTGTGTGTGTGTGTGTGTGTGTGTGTGTGTGTGTGTGTGTGTGTGAGTGTGTGTGTGTGTGTCTGTGTCTGTGTGTGTGTGTGTGTGTGTCATGTAAAGTGAACAGCATGTAACACAAATATAAGCCATGTTAGGACATAAGGACACATACATACTGTACATCTTACATACTGTAGATCCCATATCAGTATCATATTACATATACAAACAAAAATTGAAACAAATTCGAAAAAATACTTACAAATCTCCACCTTCATTTATCTAACTACATCCACTGCCTTACATATTTGTGTAAATAGAAATGAGTTGCAGTTACAAATGCATCGATTTCAAAAATGAAAACTGAATGCACTGATTACAGAATTTAATAATTAATATAATTATATTATAATTATAATAAATATGACTATATTCAGCATGGTTTTGAAAATACGTACAAATTTCATGATGCACTGAATAATGAAATCATCAACATAATAATGAGCACTGATAATGATAATTTAGCTAATTAGATTTGTTTGTATTGCACTGATACTGTAGATATTATTGAAGCACTACAAAACATGTATGTGGATGTCTGCGTGTTGTGTTTCACAGGCATGTTTCACACGAAGACAGATGGTAACACAGAGAGAGAGCAAAAGCTAGGAGGAGTGGTTTGCATTCTGACCTTCATATCCAGCCAAACACCCTTGACACACTGAATACAACTAACATGAGCATGTAAATGAGCTTCATGCTAAAGTGATTTTACACCAAACATATTAGCCAGCTGCTAAGATGCACAAATAAGAACATATGTTACATATGTTTGTGTGCTTCACTCCAGGTATTATGGTTCATCATCTGCCGTAGATACTGATATGATTATTAAAAGGTGGCTTGTTTCCCTCATGCCTGTTAAATTATTTACAAGGTTAGTTGAAATCTCATAAGTCATGTCGAAATGTCGAAGTCGAAATGTCATAAGTCATTCATAAGAAATGTCATGTTCTTTTTTACGCCATTTTAAGGGTAAGCTGGATGTTTTATGTTGGACATTTGGTGCAGAACTGACCACTTCTACTTGTGAGCTAGCTCGGTCTATTCAAATGCTCGATAACTTCTCCTTGACTAATCCCACCTTAATTAGTGAAATAATACTGAAATCCAATTCTTCTTCCCTGCACCAACATTCCTTCTGAAACACTGCACCTCTGTCATTTCTGCTCCAATTTCACATATTGTAAACATGTCTCTTATCTCTGTCACTGTTCCAGTTTCAATTAAAATTGCTGCTGTTACTCCTATTCTTAAAAAGCCAAATCTAGACCCAACTGATTACACTAATTATTGTCCAATCTCCAACTTACCGTTTGTTTCAAAAATCATGGAAAAGGTTGTTGCCGCTCAATTGCAGTAATTTCTAGCTCTCAATGAACACGTTGATATATTTCAGTCAGGTTTTCATTCGCAACACAGTACTGAAACTGCTCTAGTAAGGGTTATAAACGACCTCCTCCTTTCAGGTGATTCAGGCAGTCTTTCTATACTTCTCCTACTCGATCTCAGCTCAGCTTTTGATACTGTCTCTCATAAGCTATTACTCATACGCCTCTCAGAGATTGGCATCTCAGGAGCTGCGTTATCCTGGTTTTCCTCATATTTGACGAACAGACAATACTACATCACCATACATAACTATAAATCTCCCTCTGTCCCTCTTAAACAGGGTGTGCCACAGGGCTCAGTCCTAGGGCCATTATTATTTATTATTTATATGAATGCCCCTCGGACAAATTATTCGCCGCCACGGTTTACAGTACCACTGCTATGCTGATGATATTCAGATATACACTTCCTGCCGACCTGACTCTATTCACCAGACTGCATCTCTATTGTCATGCGTCAATGAGTTAAAGACCTGACTTAGCTCCAACTCTCTTATTTTTGAATTTGACTAAATCAGATATCTTACTTGTCAGATATCTTACTTGTCAACTGTAACAAAAAACATAACAAATGCCCCTAGATTTGACCTTGAAGCCACATCAATTATTCCATCTGCCACAGTCAAAAACTTAGGTATCATTCTTGAGTCTTCTCCAAACCTAGATGCTTAAATTAGTAAGCTCTCCAAAGCTGCATTTTTTCAA